GTGGACAGGTTCAGTCAGCAAAATGGAATCAGGAAAAACAATGTGAGTGAAGCCTTTTTTTGTTTTCTCTTATGTGTCCCGAAACATTCATCATCGTTAGCAGTGCTAGCAGCAAATGCCAGATGCCTCAGTATAGTATTACACTGACTGTGTTTGGGCAGCTACCATCACCTCCATGCATCTATTCTCTCACCTGGATCATACTCTTCTCACACCATCTGTGTGAGATGACTTGGCAGCTTTCTACACTCTCTCTCTCTGCCTGTCTGGGCCTTATCGGTGCCTCTCAAGGATACAGTTATTTTATTACTTAAGCACGTAATAATGTTTTTGTCGCCTGTCGTGCACACTGATCTTTATTTATTAGTTTTATTTATCTGCAGAGCATTGTGAATAAGTTTGGTCTATCTCCATTCGTAGTCGTCATATTGAAAGAATATTAGAAGTAGTATGGCATAAGTCAGTTTGTATTTACATTTTCATATACAACAGTATCTGCCTCACTGTGTGTTTGGATACCAGGTTTACTGGGATCTAAAAAGCAGTGCTGGAAGCAGCAGTAGTAGCTATAGTTTACAAGATTTGTATTTCCAGCAGCAGTTTAGTAATACAAGTAGTTTAATTGTCAGTGTTTGATTTCCCCTTTTTTTTTATTTTGATTGCCTTTGATTGTGGTTAAAGTGGCTTTTCCCACACAATTACAGCCCCCACTTCAAAGTGCTTGCAACCATGTAATTGCCGTTTCATTAGTTACACTTGTGAAACCACTGTATTGATGTTGACTTACCATAGGTGATGTGACCTGACCCATGATTTTGGTCTTAAGAAAAGGCAAGCAGATATCGGCATGGCCTCTCATATCGAGAGGTTTAATGAGGGTAGTGAGAGTAACAACGAGACCCCGTAAGACGCTGTTGTGTTGCGTCTCTGTGCCCTCATCAATCAAAGCTCTCTTGTTTATTCTGATGCTAATACAGCCAGCCTCACTCTGTGGCCCTATCAATTAAAAGAAAGTGGTCAGCAATCCATCATCCTCCATTTAACAAGCCAGGTTGTGGAATGCTGTGAGTGAAAACAATGTGTGTATGCATGTGTGTCTTTATTAAATACTGTATGTGTGCATGTTTACAGTACATATTGCTTTGTTATATTACACAGAGTGTCAGGCTATCTTCAAATATACAAGAATAAAGAAATTAAAAGAGATGGAGAAGAGATACAGAAACATCCTTCCTTTGCCTCAGAATAATGATCCTTTAACAACCTATGAACAGAACTAATCTTGGGAACAATTTTTGGTAACTGGAAAGTCTGTTCCTGCTTGGCATGGGTGTATTTGAATTGATTACAGCTGTGAAGGGAGATAGGGGAATCACCTTTCTCTAGTGACAGTACAGTTTGGGTTACAAACCGGAGATTTGCATGGCATTACCCCTGACAGTTCTCATAGACTTTATTCTCTACACAGTGGTTAAGTGCCAGAGGTCTTTTGAGGGCACTTCTATGGTAGGAATGTAGCAGGAGTTATTGTTGAACTGTAATGAGTCATTCAGGTTGCTCTACATGATACTGAAATGTATTTATCCTTCTTCAGAAATGAAATATACTGACACTGGAGAAAGTTTGTTAGTTTTCAGTATATTGCCATGTTGAAGGACAACCCAAACAATGCAAAGAGACAGTGGCAGGTGCACTAAAGACAGTAAACCATTTCATTTTTCACACTAAATGTTATGACCAAAGATGAGTCAATGCTGTGCACAATTTTGGATGATAAAGGTAACACCCCTCATGAAACCCAATGGTATTAATTAGAGCTGCACAATTAATCGAAATATAATCGAAATCGCAATATAGCCAAATGCACTATCCAAATCGCAGGAGCTGTAATTTTTTTGATATATGATGATAAGGTAAAATGTGTCACAAAATTGTTGTGCGTTGTTAGCATCATAAGCGTTGTGGTGCTACAAAGTCTACAAATCATATTCTCCAGATGTAAGGGAACAACAAAAATCACATCATCGTTTTTAATTTTTTCTCAGTGAAAATTAAAATGCAAAAACAATCATTCCAACTGAAATCATGACTAATTGCAAACGCAATATCTGCCAAAAATAATTGCAATATGAGTTTTTTGTGTCTTGTTCAGCCCTAGTATTAATTCTGCTTTTAAATATAGTTATCAAAGGGGTACTACCTCTGTAAGGGAGGGAGGGACACTCACAAGAAACTGATTAAAAGAAAAAGAATGCAGCAGAGGCTCTGATATCCTGACTTGTAGTTTCTACGTGCTCTTAAAATGCTTAATCCTACATTTCCCATAACGCAGCCTAATAATGTCTTTCATTGGTAAATGCCTAGGTCTTTCAAACCCCATATCCCCAGATTATAACATTTTTAAAAGTCTCCAAGCCCAAGGTAAAATGACGTTTCACCTTTTTCACATACTAAGTACTACTGAAATTCTTGATGTAATGATTTGATTGAGTTGATTCTCGATTTAAAACCAATTCTGTCAACATAACATTATTAACTAACATTGGTGCAAAAACAGATTTTTGCCATTCATGAACTGAATCTACAGAATCATAAAACATGAGTTTCATGGTTCATATAAAGGCTCAGAAATGTATTGAAATATTTTCAGAATCGCATTATTATGAAGTCCAAATCTTAGGAGCTGCAATTTTTTGATAAAGGTAAAATGTGTCACAACATATCATAAATGAAGGATTGTGATGCTATAGAGATGCCCTGGTCTACAAATCATTTTCTCCAGATGAAAGTAACATGCTGTTTGGTACGGACCACAGCAAAAAGCACATTAACATAATTTTTTTTTTTTTCAGTGACAGTTAAAAGCAAAAATTACCACTCCCACTATAATTGTGACTCATATTGCAATCACAATATCTGTTGAAATAATTGCAATATGATTTTTTTTTAAAATTAATTTTATATCGTTCAGCCCTAGTTCTTATGTGAATTCATTTTTTCACCCCCTCTTTGATGTCTGAAATTGGTGGAATACCCCTTTAATACCAATTTTTTTCCTTTATCAGAACAAGATGAAAATAAAAATAAAAATTTGGAAAAAAATAATTAATTTCAATATTTATCATCTATATCTCACTTCCTTTGAAGCTAAATATCTGCCTTTACAGTTCACAGTTTTGTTCTTCCCCTTCGACAAAATGTGCAGCTTCCTTTTGCAGATAGCCTGAGGGCAAATGTAATATTGCAATGGCAAGTCAGAAGTCAAGTCAGAATCTCAAACAACTAATTTTAAAAATGACAATTCAAAATGTAAATAATACACTGTGTGTTGGTATGCTTTACATCTCTGTCTATCTTAATGTCCTAGGAATTGTTGTATTTAAATTCATAAATTGCTTGGCAAGTTTTTCATAGTTTTAAAAGCAGCCTTGGTTTTAAATAGCTTCCCTTTCCTGTCTGGAAATACGATTTCACAAATGAAAAATATATCAGGCTCAGTGTGGGAGATGGAAAGGGATACCTCATGATTTATTCATTTGCCACAGAGTGAATTTAACACTTTAATGTTACGGAACGCCATTACGGCTCCAACAAGAAATTTGACATCACACAACATTGCATATTAGATAACATAACTTATTTATCACGGTGTTTAAAGGAAAGGCTGGCTCCTAAAAAACAAACAATAGCTCACATTTGAAGTGCAGCTGTGAAGGGAGGTGTAGAAAAACGACAGCATTCGGTGGGTTGAGCAAATAGAAAAAATAAATAAATAAATAAATAAAAAAGGTGCAGCTGGGCGGATGATTCAGCTTAGGTGATGTAAAAGTGCCCAAGGCTAAACATTTTGAACAAGAACACAAAGGAAGAGGGAAAGGGACAGAGTAGGCGAGAGGCACGCTGAGATTCCCTGTGTATCTGTGTGTGTGGACAGACGGATGGAGAGTGCGTGAGCGGGGACGTCTCCATCCACTCCGAGACAGCCTGGCTCCGCTCCTCGCCAGGGCACATTTTCCTAAGCATACCTCTGGCTTCATGTCAGCCCGTTGACGGAGCTAAATTGATGTGATTTGATGGTGCAGCAGCGCCCACACTGTCCCAGACAAACACAATGCTGATCCCTGCCAGCTTCTCTCTTAACACGCACACCGAAAAAACACACACTCACAGTCATATGCATTCAGATAGAAACTGAAAAATAAACAACCCCGGCGCTTCAGGAACAAGCACTAAAGATTAAACTTTGGGGCGGCAAATATGATGATGTCTTTATCTTCCTCCTCATCATCACCTACTGCTGAACAACAAAGTGAAGATGGAATGTGCCCTCTTAAAAGGCACTGAGTGGATTTTAATAAGGAGTGGAGCGATTAGCAGTGTACACCGTGGTCTTCATTGGGATTAAGAGGCTTTGAATGGTTGAGGCCATTAAAATCTACACCAGCCCAGAAGTCCTGCAGCGCCTTATGAGTATATTTATCATTAGGATTAACAAACCCAGCCTGTGAACACTCTCACCCCAGGAGCTCAGCCACCTCTACCCTTGTACCATTATTGTGTTTGGCTGAGAGGCTGTTGATAAGAGCGATTCAGCAGCAGGGAAGGTAAAACTCTGGTCGCAGTCTGCCGACCGTCCCCAGTGAATTGTTCTCAGAACGGCAACATCTGCATCCAGCAGCTCATCTATGTGCAGTGTAATAAGATGTGGTTTCCACAGGCAGATAGTACATTGTCATCTAATTCCTAAACCACAAACCCTGTGTATGACGTGATCAAAGAAGAGATCCAGAAGTCATTGTACTGCTTGTGGAGGAGGAAAATCTCCCTTGAGGACGTGCGCGCTTGTGTATGTATGTAGGCCTGTGTGTGTGTGTGTGTGTGTGTGTGTGTATGTATGTGTGTACTTTTCAATCTAGAGAGATTTCAGGGATTTCACTATCAGCGTGTTGAGTCATCCTACCCTAACCCATTTCCTGCTTCCTCTCTCTCCCACCCCTCAGATCTTCCACATGACCTATGACCTGGCCAGCGCCATGGTGAGGATAGTCAACCTGATTGGCATGATGCTGCTGCTGTGTCACTGGGACGGCTGCTTGCAGTTCCTGGTGCCCATGCTGCAGGACTTCCCCGCCGACTGCTGGGTGTCCAAAAATAAGATGGTGGTAAGTGCTGCTCCTGCGCCGTGTCCTCCTGCCTGTTCAAATCAGATTATACCCTGTCTTATCTCAACCGTCAGCTTCAGTAATTACTGTACTAAAACCCTTTAGCATCCTAGGAAAGGATTGCCTTGCATATCTGTCATTTAAACCATAAATCAAATATATTTATCTGCTACATTTGCCCACTTTTATTCAATTTGCTGGTTGTTTTTATTTATTTGGAGCTCTTGACATCTGTCCCTGCTGTGAAAGGAGAGAGACAGCGAGGTTGTGCATGGAACATTGATTTCCTGAATAGGACAGACGGCCCTTATCCAATATTGGCTGCATATTGACAGTTTCCAGTGAGCACTCATGCTGTGCTTTAATTTCGCTGCATTGTTAACAGCTGCCGGAGTAGAGCCTCTGTTAAAGCCTGACTCATAATAGAGTTCTCTTTTATTTGCTTACGGAAGCGGACTGTGTCACACCTGATGTGTGACTGTGAATCACCCGCAGCTGACGGCCTCATGTTAACTTAATGTGTCACAAAGAGTATAGCTCCACAGGAATCAGACTTATTGTCAGGTTTAGTGGGCCCCACCACTAAACCTCAATAGGGACTGATCTAACATCAGTGAATGCTCCTCTAATCAGCAATCACCAGTAAATCAACATATATTAAACCCTTGAGCAATGGTTCCCTAACTGATGGCTTGTCAATATACATGGCAATGGAGGTGTCAATAGGGCAGTGTTTGGACTTTTGTGGGGTCGGCAGTGAAACATTGAAAGATGTCGACATGGTGCAATAAAAGCTTCCTAGATTTAATAGATTTATAGGCGCCCAAACATGCATTCACAAACACCCACACGATAGACAAACACATTTTTTCTCCTCTGCTCTCGCTCCTTTCTTTCTTTTTCTCTTTATACTCCTTTCTTACCCCTGCTCTCTACCACACAGTCTTGCTATATAAGTCTTGTCTAATCACTATTATTACTGTTATTACATAACAAAATCATTTCCCCCTCTTCCTGTCCTGTCTGATTAATGTAGTTTTAGCCGTGTGTGTATATATACTGTATGTGTTTATGTGTGTGTGTGTGTGTGTGTGTGTGGGTGTGTGTGTGTGTGTGTGTGTGTGGGTGTGTGTGTGTGTGTGTGTGTGTGGGTGTGTGTGTGTGTGTGTGTGTGTGGGTGTGTGTGTGTGTGTGTGTGTGTGGGTGTGTGTGTGTGTGTGTGTGTGTGGGTGTGTGTGTGTGTGTGTGTGTGTGGGTGTGTGTGTGTGTGTGTGTGTGTGCGCGCGTGTGCATGTGCATACTGTATATTTTTATTATGTGTGTGTTTGTGTGCGTGTTTGTCTGTATGTTTGTATACATCTGTGTGTTTTGTGTCTGTGTGTGTGTGTGTGTGTGTGTGTGTGTGTGGGTGTGTGTGTGTGTGTGTGTGTGTGTGTGTGGGTGTGTGTGTGTGTGTGTGTGTGTGTGTGTGGGTGTGTGTGTGTGTGTGTGTGTGTGTGTGTGGGTGTGTGTGTGTGTGTGTGTGTGTGTGTGTGGGTGTGTGTGTGTGTGTGTGTGTGTGTGTGTGGGTGTGTGTGTGTGTGTGTGTGTGTGTGTGTGCGTGCATCTGTTTGTGTATGTATGTCAATATTTGTTCCAGAGAGGGAAAGGGGGTGAGGAAGATGAGAGGGAAGAAGAACAAAAAAGCAGTTCAGGTTGGGAGACAGGGTTTCGTCATCTGGTGGTCAACCCTGCTCCCAAGAGTCTGGAGCACAACCGCTACAGGGGCAGCCCTGTAGAATGTATATAGTTATTTATTCATCCATTAGCCACTACAAATGTATTCAAAACAAAACAAAACAACTTGCATCTCCCCTGTCACTCCACCTTTCCGCCTCGGTCCCATTAACCATCTCTGCCGAAAGCATCCAACAAGCTTTTCTGTTTGTTTATTTGTTTGTTTTTTCTTCTTCTTTAAGTATAAGGATATGAAGAAAGGAAAATCTACAACTATACATGAAAAAGTTGCCAGTTTTTTTTTATTCTCCTTTATGCTTCTTTTATTTCTGTTAAGCACATTGAATGTTTATGAAAATGTGCTATACAAATGAATTTGCCTTGCCTTTTCTTTCTTTCATATTCTTGCATCATCTCAGTTCATCCTAGTCTCTGTTCAATTCAATGTAATGTTTGTCCCACTGTAGTATTCTATATATTTATGTGTGTGATGTCATCTAACGTCTGCCTGTGTTAAATCACTTGTTATGTGTTTGTCTTGCTTCACCAATAAAAATGAAGAACAAAAATAGATTTATTGGCGAAGTTTTGATCAAGCAGGTTTTCCTGTGTGATCGCAGTTTCTCGCTGTTGAAAAATACACATTGTTTTAATTAGAATGTAATACTTACACTAGTAACTAAATTAACTTTTTTGAAGTGAATTAATATTCAAGTCACAGGTAGAATGCTGAATTTATTAACAGAAAGATGAGGAGGCCAGAATAAACATATTCTTAAACTGTGACAACAAAAAAACACAGGTAGAGAAGCCAACTTTGAGTTCACATGAACCAGCTTCTAGTCAGCTGTATGCTCAGCTCTGTGTGACAGAACAGATGTCACATGAGTAGTTACATCGCTCAAGGTGTGATGTATTTGGTTCATCATGCCTCACTGCCTCCCTGACATGCTCACATGTTTCACAGAATCTGCTTCTCTTACATTTAATCATAAGAAAAGACAGATGTGTGCAGACCACTGTCCCTTGAGATGTTTCACACTTTAGCTAATTTTAGCTTCTTTTCCATACCTGTCTGTGCAGCGATATACATGCACACTCAGGTAAGTTGGTCCTGCTCAGGGACAGGGATCAAAAGAGCAACTACGACACAACCTTTACCTTCCAGTCTGGACTGATATAGATTAAGACCCAAAACTAAAATATATATTAAGACCTCTATGTTGCATATGGTTACATTCAAACATTTTCCTCTTCCAAGTTTTATGTTTCTTTTCCCTTTGGCGCCATGAAAGATGCATTTTACTACTAGTTCAATATGCATACAGCCAAGTTGTAAGGGGATTATCTTAAGTTACGTAAGGCAGAGCTGTCAGACAACATAATGTAAACTGTAGCTCATCATTAAGGTACAGTACCGTATGCATGGATTAGGATTGGATTTGATGTCTTTTTTGCAGCAGTAAAAATAAAGGATATGATTGCTCTTCTAATCTCTTTGCTTGATTCTGGAAAAACATATTTGAACCACATGTACATGAAGAAATAACACTGTATTATACATAAAGCCACGACAAAGAAAAACAGATTTAAATAGTCCCTCAGAGCAATATGAGGCATTTGCCATGCTGTGCTTTTTACATAAAAAAAAATAAAAGAAATCTCTTGTATGTTCACATTTTCAGAGAATTGTTGCCTCTACTCTTTCTTAATAACAAGCTTTACTTTTACCTTTACTTCTACAATTAAAACCTAAAAATCCAGTCTTCTTTTTTTTTTTTAAAGTGTTCAAATACCTCCATCTCAGCAACTCTGGCGTGTGGGCTCACATGCCAAATGCCTTCTCACAAGATGATTTCATGCAGTTCTGACTAGCTTATATTTAGGCATTTTCTACTTCTCATGTTGTTACAGCTCAGAGTCGTATTTCCAGAACTTGCACTGGATGTTTCCTGAGACTGTAGCTCCCGAAAAGCAGCCCTCTGCATGTAGGGGTGCAGACAGGCCCTCAGATGTTGAGGAGGAACACTCCTAATGTACTTAGTTTAAAATCCCGTGTGATGGATGTAGCCTTTCATTAACATCAAAATAGAGTTTGTTTTGTTTCACACGGTAAACACTGTCTAATTAATTGCATTACATAGAAGAACGGTTCTCAATGTGACAGAATAACAAATATATCTTTCTGAATTAATTCAAGCCTCAGGGGCAGGCACCTCTCTGATGGAAAGCTCTTCATGTTTTGCTCACATTACCTGGTAGACAAAGAGGTTGTTAGTATTGATAGACTCACAGTCACACTTGGCCTGACCCTGATTAGGAGACATTTTTTGTCTTCTTTTACAGTAGCTGTCCTGTTATCTCGCCGGGTCATCGCTCCTTACCTTTTCAGGAGGGCACTAATAAAATTGCTATCTCTCTCTTGGCTTTTTCCGCTGTGGAAATGAGTTTGAAAGCAATTTGGACATGTCACCCCCAGGAGAGAGTTGATATTGATTTGCCATGAACTACCATCGGGATCTAAAGGAAAAAAAAGGGGCAATTTATCTACAAATGAGAAAACTCACACAGAAATCACATTTTTCTAAATAGCTGACCTACTTTCCGTCATGCAAGCCTCTAGTGTCTCATGCTCCATCCTCCCATTCTCAGGGCTCTGTTTTAGGCTCCTGCCCAAATGTCTGCTTTGCTCCAAATATTTGCATATTGAGAAGTATGTTATACCCCGCCAGCTGCTCCGTATTGAACTAAGACGGTTGGAAGTGGGCACCTGCCATTCGTTTTGTCTTAAGTAGTTGGATGTGTGCGTGTTTGTGAGTGAGCTGTCAGAGTGCTCATTGACCTTTAATGTGCCATCAACACCCTTATGAGAGGGAGAGTGTGAGATGGAGAGATAAAGTGTTCCGATGTACTCACCCTGACTAACCCCGTCTCTTCTGTTTCATCCAGAATGACACATGGGGACAGCAGTACTCCTACGCACTTTTCAAAGCTATGAGCCACATGCTGTGTATTGGCTATGGCATGTACCCCCCGGTGGGCATGACAGACGTGTGGCTGACCATCCTCAGCATGATTGTGGGCGCTACCTGCTACGCCATGTTTGTGGGCCACGCCACCGCGCTAATCCAATCTCTAGACTCATCTCGACGGCAGTACCAGGAGAAGGTGAGTAAAGACAACGTGTTGCTGATGGCTGTATTGTGTCTGGATTTATTTTTAAGAGAGGACAGCGGTGGTAGGTGGGTAGGGTGCTTGCTCGTCCTCAGTTTAAAGCTCGGTTTTGTTTTGTAGTTTAATGTGGCAGTTAACCCCCAAAATTGAATTTCTGTGATGTTTTTACGGACACTGAACACACTCTGACTTGTAGGTATTGCAGCTCCTTCATCACTCTTCCAAAAAGGGAAAACAATCACCATCAGTCCTCTAACAAAAGACAGCTGTGCCTCCCTGATAACCCCTGTAATGTAACTATTGTAAAAAACTTATTGATAGTGCTACATTATTTTATTAATTAGATGAATAATTAATGTTATTTTTTGTCTTACTTTGAATTCCAAAACTTTATGTTACAGCTCTATACTATACAGCTCTATATTTTACATCTATATTTGCTTAAATATTGGTAAATTGGCACCAATAAAATGATGATATATTAGCTATTAGCACTTCCTGTCACTGGGTTACTTTGATACTGCTATGCTTTGATGGCTGAAGTCGCAGTGATTGGCTGAGTAGCATCACGTGACCAGTGCCGTAAACACTACAAGAGCAGCGCTGGTTAAATTAGAAGCGTCGTCCAATTCTCAATAATTTAAAGGTTATATGTATGGGTCCAGATAAGATGGCGTCTGGGTCCAGACAGCAATCCACCTATTAGTGACCTCTGTTCAAGGTAGAAGATGTTCTTTTGTACTGAGGAAACTAAATCCAGGAAATTGTCAATTTTGTTCCGGCAAGTAGAGGACGTTTGACTGACATAACATTGTCCCTTGAAAGCCATGTATCTCCAAAATATCAGCTTTTCATAGGCTAAGAAAAACAGCATTGTTTCCAGGTTTGTTTGTATGACAAAGAGCACAGAAAGTACTGTTACTAAAAATGAGGGCATAGTGTGCTAGGTGTCCACATCTATTTATCTTTGCCTGGATGGGCATTTGCCGTGGAATCACATGCACACAGACAGGAACTCCAGCATCCCCATTTCAGGGAAAGGAAAGCCCTGTCAGCTGGCCGTGAAGGCCGAGACGTGTTCCACAGAGCCATGCCCTCAGTGGGCCCAGCGTGGGTGATAATGAGCTGAGCGGCCAAGGCTGCCACACTGCCCACCATCTGTAGCGAGGAGGAGACAGGAGAGGATGACCTCCAGGGAATGGAGGCAGAAGCTCGTGAGACCCCACCCGAATGAAAGAGGGAGAGTGGGAGTTAAGAGGCCAGAGGAAAAGAACCAGGCAGACAAGCAGGGGGAGCAGATTAGCTGACGTAATAGCTGCGTGTTATTCATCTTCAAAAGGAGAAAAAGGCCACTGGATAAATTAACACCTGACAAATCTAGGGGTGAGTAACAAAGAGACTAGTTTCCAACAAATTAACAACGGCAAAGATGAAAAATCCAAAAAGTAAAACATGTAAGTTGGTACATGACTAATGCGACTGATCTGAGTAGCTGTTTAATGAAACACGAGTGAACCAACTCCAGGCTCAACACTGTCCATTTGTCTGCCGGTCTGCTTTAGAGATGCCTTGCTGCCAAGTAGACTGAACAGCTGGCCTGTCTCAGCACCAGTCAGCATGTGCTACCAAAGCCATTTGCTGCCGTTTCTGGGATCACCCCCTCAGGCGCCTTAAGAATCCCCCAGCCAGCTAAAAAGGCTCCCCTGTGCTCCCACAGCTTCCCATGGTGCCTGCCTGCAGAAAGGTTATTAGTGGAGACTGCAATTAATTTTTAAGAGTGCGGATTCTCTCATTTATCTTTCTACATGCCTCAGTGATAAGAAACTCTCTGGGTGCACTGTTGCTGCGTGCTCATCTGGCTGTGGGAGCCAGATAGTAGTCATTTCTACTACACTGTACTACACCCACTCCTCCGTTCTCTTTTATCAGGGTTAGTTCCTTCAAAGGAATAAACCTTTTTGTCATTGGCCTCTGCATCAGTCGTGTGACAATGGGATTGGCTTCCTGGAGATTTCACTCTGCTTTTCCGTGCTAGACTAATACCATAATCCACACTCTCAAGAAGTGGACAATCCATCGGTCAGTCTCTGGAGTTTTGAGGAGACAGGTGGCTGTTCTCAGAGAGCCATGACAGAGACAGCTGTTCCTGTCCGCAGGGAACCAGCCTGGACAAAAACCTACTAACGGAGACACCACCAGCACAGCAGCCAGTATCCAACCTGCCACCATACACCAAGTTATCATATACACCTGTCTGTTAGGATGAGTGATATTATGCTGTAGAGTATGGTGTGGTGGTTCCATGTAACATATTAACACATCACATCTGTTTAAGCAGCCAGGTGAAGATGTAATTATTAATAAACCATGCACAATATGAGGATGGCAATATGAAAGAAATAAGGTAAATATAAAATACCTGATGATTCCAAACAGTGATGCTAAACCGCAGCAGCATATAGCAGATATATACAGTATAATATTTTATTCTTAAGTCCAGAGAAGTATATCACACTTATTGTGTTTGCTCAGAAAAGGTAATGGTGCATTAAGGCACTAATGGAAAAAAAACATTAAAAATGGAATAAACATTAAGTCTGCAGCTTTGGTATATCAAAAAGAAACACTTAATTTCTTTTTGTAATCATAGGTACCCAATCTCTTTACATATTTGCATATTATATGGTGGATAAATAACAGTATATGCATTGATGTTGAGTTCATTGAACTCACAAACTCAGTCTCAGGGTGGGTGCTCAAAGTACAAGGCCATTGAAAAGCTTTCATTCTCATGAAAAGTAGTGTATATTTGTAACAGTGTCTGAAACAGGATCACATACAGTGGCTGTTTGTTGTTTTTAGTGTGTCATGAAAAATAAGAGAAAGAGAGGGGGTGGGGATGTAACAGAATTCATGGAAAGCTCATGTATTTTTTAGATACAAATAAACTAAATATATGTAGCCTAAACAGCCATGTTTGAAAATAATAATAAGTAAAGCAATATTAGATATTTATTAGATAACATAGAACATTCAAATAGAATGAATTATACAGTAAACAGACATTTTTATGTAATTAAAAATTGTTTGTTTTCATTTTGTTTTGTATTGCCATTTTATTTATTTTTATAGAAGAGACATAATATTATCCTTATTCAAGGCCCAATTTCAAATTTGTGAATATCATATTATATTATAAATAGGAGGTATATTACTATACACATACACACAGTCCAATATATCTAATTTTTTGTGTGTCTGAAATGACCAGAATTGGAACTAAAGGCTTATTTTACGAGAGTGCTTACAAAGATTAGTTGTATTAACACATATTTAACAGTTTCTGTCACCATAGATTTTTTTGATTGCTTGAAATGTGGATCACAAAATGTGCCACTTTTGATAGAAAAAACCTTTCTATCTAGTGATCTCCAAGATGTTTGACGGTGGCTTTGTCTTTCAGCGCTCAAAAACGTGTTTACCCACAGCTCCGTCACAGCTTCTAAAAAGCATCACAGTGTTCAGAGACGCTCTTTTAATACTTAATTTGGCAAATCTGACTCAACACATGCATAGCTGATGTTGCAGTTTACAGACCATGAAACATGAGGAATTAGACATTTTTGACTCATTAGTAAAAGCTGTAAATGCCAGCACTCTTTTTTTCTGTTGCCTGTTGGCAAGCTGAAATGGAGCTCTGCAGTTTGCAGTTTGGAGTTTTTGTGCTCAGTGGCCAAATATGCCCATGTTGATATTCCAAAGATACTGTCAGCAAGACTACAAAACTGCATCATTTGCATACACCAGCAGTCTGTGAAGAAGCGTGGATTGTGCTTTACTTATCTGTGTGGCTCCATAAATCACTGATGTGTTCCGACAATCTTCCTTATTATACAATCATTTTAAAATTCAAATGTGGATGGGAGTATAAATGAAAATGAACATTAGCTAGCATGGAGTTTTTGTACGATCTGTATTACAGTTGTGTTGTATATGACATTCAAGCTGAGGCAAACTCCCAAATGCACGATAACACACTCACTGCTCACAGTGTGACAGACACTTCAACCACTATTTAGTTTGATAAAAAAAGTTAAAAGAAAAAAAAAAACTAGAACATTGTTGTGCCAAGTAGCACCAATGCCCCATTTAACTGCCTTGTGCTGGTTTTGATGTGACACAGGAACATTCAACCACTGTAAATGAGCTATAGAAAAGAGAATGTGCGACCCTCATACACATCGCTGAGGGGCCAATATGAGAGGCCATCTGTCCTGTTGGCATTCAGAAGTGATGTCCAGGTAACAGTTAAATTTAGATGTGAAACAAATCAGTGAAACCCCTCTATGGGACTGTGATGAAGAAAACTAAGAAGGAATCTCAGAAGTGTACAGACGGGAAAGAGGAAAGAAGTAAAAAAAAAAAAAAAAAAAGCTCTGCTCTCAAAGATGGTGAAATTATCATCAGAAAGCCCGGGTATAATCTTTTCTGAATAGAATTCTATTACAATATGGCTCCATGTGATAAATGCCTGGGCTGTCGGAAGCTAGCAAGTAGACTTAAATGAGCTCTTAAACAGGAATCAGGCAGCCCTGTTAACTGCACCCAGCAATCACACCAAATACGAGGGGTTAAAGTGTGGCCCCACTGAGATGAAAAATAGCTTTATTAGATTTATTTTCTCTCTGCTAAAAATGAATACTTGTTGCCAGTCTTTTGCTGTGGCATGTGGATGCAAAATAATAAAGCATGTGCATTTTCTACCTACTGGCAACTCAATTTGTTGCAGGTGTATCTGACTGCATAGATTAGGTTGGGTCCATATCAGATCTGAAACGAGAAACGGATTGGAGCTGGAGCTTTGCCTCATTGCTACCTGTTCTACTCCATGCTTCCGTGTGCTAGAGAGCCAATTACTGAGTGCTCTAGTCAAGAGATTGTAGCTATATTTTAAGAGTAGCTTAACACCAATCTGACAGTGTGTTGCTGCCCTC